TGCCGTGGGCGGGCGAGGCCCGCGGGGAGCTCTTCGGTCCCTGTTTCCAGGCTCAGAGTTAGCTCTGCCCGCTCAGGGCCGGGACAGGGTCTGGCACCGAGGCGCAGCAGCTCCCAGCGTGGGGGTGTGTGACACTGTGCGGTTACCGAGCCTTGTTTAAGAAAGAACGGGCTGTAGAATGTTTGGATAAGAAGAAACGGGCGAGTCGGAGCACCGTTTCCCGGCGCTGCTGTAGAGACGTTAGCCATTACATGTTAAATCTAAGAAGGAAGTGAAACGCTTGCAGTGTAGTGGGCAGTCAAATAATTTTCCAGACCCTGACAGCAAACTGTTTGTCATGAAATCAGATGTCTCCTGACAAGGCAAAGAACAAACACAAACAATTGGCTCTGGTTTAGTGATAAAATTGCTGGTTTAGTAATGCTGTTCAGTTTCTCCTCAAACCCTCCAGGGTAGAAAGACTTTGCTGTAAGGTGAAAGGCTCTTTCAGATCTTCTTGCATAAAAGTGTGTTGATGCCTGCACACAGTTGATGCCTTGCAGGACAGGAAACCTCAAACAATAATTATACCTCTGTGTATGAGCTCGGGACATATAAACTAACAGTTTATGTGGAAAGATTTACACATTACGTGGCAAAGGTTCTGTTTTGAAACTTAGTTCAGAAATAAACTATTGCAGACAGCGTCGTCTGGTCTCACTCCTGCTCTGTGTTAGTGCTCTTTGCATTAAGTTGTCGTCTGGTCTCACTCCTCTGTGTTAGTGCTCTTTGCATTAAGTTTCTGTGTCCAAAGAGGAGGCACCTCCATCTCTTGTAAAAGGTGCTTGATTTTGTGGGTTGATCTGTCACTGTGGCAGGAGAGTGGTCATGTATGAATGCTTAAGATTTGCAAGCCCAGTGAGGTAATAGACCAGTGCTGTGGTTGGTGTTTCCCCAGGAATGTGAGTGAGAATGGTAAGGTAAAGATAGCCTGTCTCTGCCACAGTTACTTTTGGTAACTGATGGAAGAGAATTTCATGAGGTTTTCTTTTTCTTGTTGGTTTTATTTGGTGTTTTTATATCTTTATGAAGTGGCTTGCTGGTATGAGCCTCTTCTGTGCTGGATATCATCAGTTCCAGAAGCTGCTCAGTCTCCTTAAGAGTAAACAAGACTTGGTTTAGTGCACTCTCAGAGCCTGTGAAATCTTGCTTGAACTGGAAGACCAGCCAGGCCCTGGCAGGTACTGGAACAGAGTGAACAAATTGGTTCAAGGTGGGGACAGACACTCAGTTGTTGGGAAAGTAAAGTTGTCTTTTCGCCTTCTGATTATTATGGTTTTTAAGCATAAACATTGGTAAAGTATTTGTGGTTTTCAGTTATCGGTGTTTGACAGAGATGAGAGGAGCTATTCTCATCACATGCCAGTTGAAGTAATGGATTCCATTGTGTACATAGAACCTTAATTGTACTTACTTTTTCCAAGGTCAGAGAGGAAGTGTGTAAGGACTTGAGTGTTGTCCTCTGTGCATAGTGGCTGCATGTACAAAGTGGAAGCTTAAGATAGCACAGCTAGTGTCTTTTGCAGTATAGCTCCTGCTATTCTAGTTCACTTAAATCAAAAAGATTCTTCAAATAAAATACACTCTACAGCAGAGAGGGAGACAGGTTTGGATCCTTCTTCAGTTCCTAATTTTTACAAGAAACCACTAAGGCTGCTACTGGAAGTAAAAGATATATAAAGCTATAGTAACTCACTAATATCCCTTTTAAATTGTTGCTGTTTTTGATTGTCTTAAATAGCTTGTAAATCTCCTGTGCAGCATATGAAGATACAGAGTCATTGTGCTTTCTGACTTTCTTCAAGCCAGAATGTACAACTGCTTTATCTACTTGCTCCCTAAAAGCAGAACACAGCATCAACAGTTATGATCACATGAAGAAGTTGCTGTGTTGTCTGATTTTGAGAAGATGACATGACACTAAGAGCTTAAAAGCAACACCAGTGTCACACTGACACTGAGGTTTTGAGGGTAGTTTGATTTCTGGTACTTGTAAGTCATCCAGAAAAGTGGAAACTCTTATCTCCTATTATGGAAGTGCTGAAAAATGTCATGTAAATTTTTCATGACCTTGACTTTGCAGTTAATAACCTTGTCATTCCCACTGCTGATGGAGATAAGTATAATAAATCCCCTTGATTTTAAATAGGAATATAAAATTCTATCCTGGCGTGGCCGTCCTGTTTTACTGCAATGATGTTTCTCGGTTGCTTCATAATTTCAGTCACATCCATATCAGAAAACTTTGCATAAGCTTTGTCCTAATCCCTTCAGATGATGCAGGACATTTTTATTTATTCCTCTGCCTAACAGGGCTCAGACCATCATGAAGGCTCGTTTGAAAGGAGCCCAAACAGGTCGTAACCTCTTGAAGAAAAAATCTGATGCTTTGACGCTTCGATTCAGGCAGATCCTTAAGAAAATTATTGAGGTAGGTAAATGAGAATTTCTGCTTTGTCTGGCTTACTTTATTTGAAATCTCTCTGTTCTGTCAGTTGTGCATTCCCTTGCTGCTAACTTCGTTGGATAGGCTGGAATATAGCAGAGCTGTTTTTTTGTAAGTGGAACTACTGAGGACACATGGGCAGAATTATATTTTTCTGGCTGAAGTGATATAGAAATTTTGGAAGAGTTAATATTCTTCACCTCTTACCAGACAGTCTTAGGCTCTGTTTTTGTGTGTGTCCCAAGTTCCCTATCGTCTCTTCTGTATTACAGAGAATTTGCTGTGATGTTGCCAAGTACCTTAGGAGTGGTTTTAACATGTTCTGTGTCCTCATTTGTGTTGCTTTAACTGTCTTGTGAGGATACTGCAGATCCACAATGTTTCCTGCATGGCTAGGGACACTAGCAAGCAGAGTATTTGTCCAGATGGAACTTGTTCCTCTACAAAGAAACACAGAGCCCTTCTTCTTCCTTAACAACAGGGATGACAAATCTGAGACACCCAGTAGAGCCTAATATGTCTTGTTCTGTTCTGTCATACCAGATGGGTTTTAGCTGTACTGTTTTGGCTGCAGCTGCTGCAGTATCCATGGTTAGCAGCAGTGCTGTGTTGCCATGCTGCAGACGAGCTCTCAGCACTCCATAGGTTGTTTCCTACAGATTGTCTAATACACAGAGGCTGCTGTTTCTCAGTTAACACCATTTTAGCTACAAGAGCATCAAATCTGTAAAAACTGGGGGAAAATGGAGTAGGAGGAGAGCTCAGCTTCACAAAGCTGCATACATCTGTATGTGTCAATAAGGCCAACTCTCTGCATTGCAACTGCTGCTGAGAGGGAGAAAAGATGGGTTTTAGTTGTAGGAGATTCTCTTCTAAAGGGAACAGAGAGCCTGATATGCTGGTTGGACTCAACCCTTAAGGAGGTCTGCAGCCTCCCTGGGGCCTGGGTTAAGGAAGCTTCCAAGCCTGGTATGGCCCACACACTACTACCTGTTACTGATCTTCCGTGTAGGGGCTGAGGAAATGGCAACAAGTAGTCTGAGGGTTATCAGAACAGATTTCAAGGCTTTGGGATTTTTGGTAAGGGAATTTGGTGCACAAGTGACTTTTTCCTCTGTACTTCCAGTTGAGAACAGTAATATGAAAAGGAGCAGACAGGCAGACTCCATTAATATATGGCTTTGCAGCTGGTGTCACCACCACAACTTTGGATTCCTTGACAGTGGTATGGACTATGCAGCACCAGACATGCTGGCACCAGGCAGGACTCACCTTTCTCATCAGGGAAGGGGAATGTTTGCCCAGGAACTGAAGAGACTCATTGGTAGGGCTTTAAACTAGATATGGTGGGGGAGGGGGTTAATAGGAGGCTTGTCCCTGGCAGACTGGAAAAGTATGGATAAGCTGGCGGGACAGGGTACTTGTGAGGGCCCTCAGCAGGAGGCTCTGAGATACAGCAGCCACACTGGAGTACACATGCAGCCTTGCAGAGATCAGCCAGGGAGTGCTGAAATGATGAAAGCCAACAGGGATACTTCAGAGAACAACCCTAGTATCAAAAGAAGGCTTAAGAGGGAATACCTTGATCAAGCAGCTGAAGGTGCAACTGTAAGACAGGATTATATGCTACTCCATTGCACCCCACTGGGATATTGTCATCATCAAACACTTCTATAAGGTCCCTGTATACCAATGCACACAGTATGGGGAACAAACAGGAAGAACTAGAGATCTGTGTGCAGTCACAGCCCTTGATCTCACTGCGATTACAGACGTGGTGGGATAGCTCACTGTAGGGAACGGCGACACTCACATGACTGGAATGTTGTCAGGAAGGACTAAACACTGTTTAGAAGAGATAGACCAGGAAGGTGGTGGAGTTGCCCTCTATGTGGCACAGCATGTAGACTGTATTGAGCTCTGCCTTGGTGAGGGTGATGAGTGAGTTGAGAGCTTATGAGTTAGGATAAAAGGGCAGAATGGTAAGGGTGATATTGTTGTGGGTGTGTACTGCAGGCCACCAGATCAAGAGGAGGAAGTGGACGAGGCCTTCTGCAGGCAGTTAGGAGTAGTCTCCAAGTCACAGGCCCTGGTTTCTGGGGGGGACTTCAACCACCCTGACATCTGCTGGAAAAGCCATACAGTAAAGCACAAAATGTCCAGAAGATTCCTGGAAAGCACTGATGATAATTTCTTGTCACAGGTAGTGGCGGTTCCCACAAGAAATGGCGTGTTGCTTGACCTTGTACTAAGCAACAAGGAAGGCCTTGTTGATGATTTGACGTCTCAGCTGTAGCAATTATGAGATTGTAGAGTTCAATGTCAAACCAAGAGGTAGCAGGACAGCAACTAAAACTACAACTGTGAACTTCAGGAGAGCTAACTTTAACCTGTTGAGGGATCTTCTTGCCCTGCAGGGAAGAGGGGTCCGAGAGAGTTGGTTGTTATTTAAGGCTCATTTCCTCCAGGCTTAAGAATGATGCATCCCAATGAGAAATAATTTCGGGCAAGGGTGCATGAAACCTCTGTGGATGAACCAAGAACTCCTGTCATTACTGAAACATAAGCAAGAAATGCATAGGAGGTGGAAGTGGGGTCAGGCCACGTGGAGTGACTGGAGAGAGGTGGCCAGAGCAGGTAGACAGGAGACAAGAAAGGCCAAGACCAACCTAGAATTGAATCTGGTCAAGGAATCAAGGAAGGGCTTTTTAAAATACATAAATACGAAAAGGAAAACAAAGGATAATGTGAGCCCACTAGTTAATGGAGAGGGGACCCTGATAACAGAGCATGCAGAGAAGGCAGAGTTATTGATTGTGCTTCTTTGCATCAGTCTTCACGGATAAAATCAGTCTGCAGGGATCTCTGACCCAACAACTTCAGCTGATAGTTTTCCATACAGTGGGAAGGAAGAGCATTTTCCTACTGAGCCATTTTAGTGTTGTGATTTAACCCCTATGTAGTAGAAGCTTATGATTGATAAGATGAATAAGTCTTTTGCAGTTTCTGTGAGTTCTACACTGGGTCAGTGAAACAGCTGCAACATTTTTTTGCCAGTCACCTGGGAATGACAATTTGCAGTTTGAGAATAAATGACACATATGCCATTTTCTCACTGCCTTCAATTTCTCATTTTTCCCTCTACGCTGTTAGTTATTTATCCTGGAAAAGGAGTAACAATATGCCTTGTATTTGCTGCCTTTTTATTTCTGTAATTTTTTAAAACAGACTAAGATGCTGATGGGTGAGGTGATGAGAGAAGCTGCGTTTTCACTTGCTGAAGCCAAGTTTACAGCAGGAGATTTCAGGTGAGGATTGCTGAACTTGTGGATGTCCTGCACATGGGAAAGAAAAAAAACTCGTTTTGAAAAAAAAATCCTAAATGCACTTTAAGAAAAAAAAAAGAAGACAGCAGACAAGGTAAGACAGAACTGAATTCCATTAGGTAGAGGTGAGAGACATCACTGCAGGAGAGAGATAATTTGTATGATGAAAATCATTGGAAGGTAAGCAAAGTGGAGAGATTAACAGAATTTACATTCTGTACAAATCCTTGAATTGAGAAGGTGTTGCTTTTTGCAGCTTGGAATTGAAAGTGTAGGGGAGTGAGAATTTATAACAGAGTATTGGACTATTTGTTAATTTGGTCTGTCCTGTGAATTTGAGGGATGGAGGTAACGTGTGTTTTCTCCCAGTAAGTCACACAGTGATGTTACCAATTGTTCTAACCTCCTCACTGACCTCTTGTCTCACTAAGGCTAGTGAGGGCTGTATGCGAGAGGGGAAACAAATATTTTCCTCCAGTAGGATATTATGGATTGTATTTTAATAAATTACAGTTCTGCCCAGGGTGTTTGTGTAATTCATTCAAATGTGCACAGGCCTTGTGGAATAAACTTGGGGAAGTGTTAATGATTCAGCTAATGGGGAAGAACCAAGTGGTCAGACACAGCAGTAATCTGTGTGCTGCTGAAGAAAAGTATTTTTGCCCTTTCATTTGGATATAGTGCTTTTTCCTGTCCTAACTAGTCACAGTGTTTAGCTATAAACAATAGTCAGATTCCACCCTGTAAGTAAACTGGACTTCAGCAGAAGAGTTAGCTATAGTGACCTGTTCTTGGAAGACCTTAAGACACTGCAGAATTGTTCAAGATGAATTGTTGTACAGGCTAAAGTTGGTTAATATGAGAGTTAGTGAGTGAAAAACTCATTAATGTTCTGAGCATTAAGATATATGAACATATTAAGAACAAATACATACAAACTAAAATGAATAAAACGTGGCCCTGGTCTGCATTAAAGCCTTGAAATTCCTTCACTTTTATTGGGGAAGAAAAGTCTCATGGGTTGATTAGACTCAATGTTTTTAAAACCATTTGCTGGATAAGTAGCTGGTTTTCAGCTGTGCTTTGTGTACTTGGTCCAAGACATTTTTAAAGTTATGTTTCACAGACTGCATCGTTTACATTGCCAAGCATTGCTGGAAACCTGTTTCTTTCAAGGCTTCTGTGTTAGCTTCGAAGTCTGTGCAATGAACTGCATAAAGAACTGAGATGACAACAATTTCCAGGTCTTTACAGCTATTTGGTAACTGCTTCACCTTGCATATAGTGATGGCTTAATTAACCACCTCAGCTCTCCTGATTAAGATGTATATTTTCTTCCTTACAGTACCACTGTGATCCAAAATGTGAACAAAGCACAAGTCAAGATCAGAGCTAAAAAAGACAACGTAGCAGGTGACTCTCTAGCAGGCTATGGGTGTTTCAGCTCATAAGGGAATTGTGGGAGGAGACTTGGAAAATATGCAGGAAGGTATCCAAACACTGTCTCCTCTGCTTGATTTCTCTTATTTATCCAACAACAGGAACACTTTTTTTCACATACAGCATATGATTTAGTTATTTACCTCTCATAAAATTAAATGAATGTGTGTAAACTGCAGTTCAGTTTCTAGATCTTCCATAGAGCTTTACTGAAAAACAGATCAGGAAATTAAGTGCTAAAAATCTAAATTTCAGGTGATTAAATATCAACAATTGTCTATTAAGAAAATAAGGAAGGATCAATCAAGATTGAATACTTAAAATATTCCTTAAGCAAAGGGAGTACATTACTAAACAGAACCATAATGAAACTGAACACTGAATAAACCAGAATAGTTCCCTGATTTTTTCATGGGTCTACATTTGTGTGATCTCAACACAATTCTGAAGTTCCATACTAAGATTTTAAAACCACCATGACTTGATGGTCCAAGCTCTGTAGGAAGATTCTGAAAACAAAGCTTCTGATTAGAAGCAAATGGGCTAAAAGTGAGTTGTACTTAACAAATCTCTAACCCTTTATGTCTCTTACACACATTTTTGTTTGCTCTTGTCAGGTGTAACCTTGCCAGTTTTTGAGCATTACCAGGAAGGAGGGGACAGTAAGTACAAACCTTGTATTTTTCTACCTTGCATGTACTTATGGCTGGTCCATGCTAATACAGAAATCCTTGTCCTATCTTGATAAGTCAGTTTACATCATGGGCACAGGTGAATTTACTTTCTTTAAGGTGCTTTGCCCTGTTCCTGGGCCATGGAGGGATTATTAGGGACTGTAGTGGCTTTTAGTCTCCTACATCAGTGAGGTTTTCAGATGAGAAGACTTGTCTTGAATTACCAGATTTTTGAGACTGCTAAGTCTTACTGTGGACATACACAACAATGATCTGTGGTAACACAAAACACTATAGAGAGAATTTGTTAATGGGTGAAGGCTTTAGCTTCTCACTTGCTGAGCTGTCTGTTCCCCTGTAGTTTGCCAAGTATTCATTTTTACCTAGTAAGAAAACACTGCAGCAGCAATAGTAACAAATGATATTTTTTTCAGGCTATGAGCTGACTGGCTTGGCCAGAGGGGGAGAACAGCTGGCAAAGCTGAAGAGGAACTATGCCAAAGCTGTGGAGCTGCTTGTGGAACTGGCCTCCTTACAGGTTGGTGGGAGGAAAAATGGAAGGTGTTTCTCACTTTTCTGAAATGAAAGTAATGTATCTTAGTAATTGTAGCGTAATCTAGTCCCAGGGCTGTACAAAGTTGCAAACCTTTTTCAGCCATAAAATAGTTATATTACCACTTCAAAGAAATCCTTATTCCTTAAGGTGAAGAAACTTCCTTTGGAGAGCTGGTATTTGTAGCTGCTGACGTGCAGTATTCAGTGTGCTAGTGACAGCAGCAGGAAAATTCTGCTTCTACCAAGTCGTAGTATGTAAAGCTACAACACAGACCTGGCTCTCAAGTGCTTTGTGATTTTTGTGTATAGAATTAATGGAAATGCTGAATTTGTCTTGTTCTGTATTAATTATTTAATCCCATTCCCTCAGACATCCTTCATTACTTTGGATGAAGCCATCAAAATAACAAACAGACGTGTGAATGCAATTGAACACGGTGAGTATTTTTCCATTTGGGATGCATAACATTTTTCTGCCTCCATGCAAGATGAGAAGCAGGGTCATGGAAACCACTCTTCCTTTGACCTCTTCCTTGTTTGTAGAATTTCTAACCAGTTCAAGGACTCTTTTCTAGAAAGCTTTACAATGCAGCATATTGCAAGAAAGAGAAACATGAAAAGTTCAGTGGAATGGACTAGAGCACAGAGAGATAAATGGATATGCAACCATGAGAAGGGAATCAGGAAATTTATTTTGAGAACCTATAGAACAAAAGTTTCACAAACTCTGGAGTCTCTGCTAGTGACTTTGACTTAATTGCTGAGGTCTCTTGACTAGAAGCAATAGACATGTTTCTATGCCTTAAGCTGTTCCAATAGCTGGCATAATAAACTTAAATAACTGTAAAATATATTTAGCATTCAATCACTTTATTAAACTTTAAAACTAACAGTGCTGCTCAGTGGAGAGCTGGAGACATTTTGGATGTAACAGTCCTTATGTCAATTTTCCTTTGATCTGAATTCTTTATTCATGTTGTTTGTAAATGTGTTTCTTGCCATTTCTTAAATAGTACTACAATTGCACTGTTGCTGTAAATCCTTTTGCTGCAGTGTCCAGGGTGCTTCAGTTATTTCAGCTTCTTTTCTGAGTTGTTGATAGTTTGGATTTAATCATCTTTGCATGTAGTCAATAAGTTATTTCAGTCTGTGTTTGTAAACCATCCTTTTCTGTACTATTTTTCATAGACTGGTTCCTTTGAACATTCAGGCCTTAACTGCACCTTATCACTCTGAAAATTTGCCTTAGAAAAAGTTTCCTCTGCAGCCTTCCAAATAACTTTGGTTTTACTGCTAACAGGTTTCACCTTTTGCTAAGTGATTCTGACACAGCTTGTCCAGCTGGGTGTTAAAGCTGTGTGTAATGCGTTATATTTTGAGTATTTGTTTTCAGAATGGCTTTTTCAGACAGATAATTCTGTGAGTAGAAGTGCCATAGTGAACAGAAGTTTCAGAATGAGTGTTATGGAAGAACATAGTTTTAATTCAAATTCTGCCCACATCTGGCAGGGATTTTTTAACCCATACCATGGGATAAAGGGACCTTACAAATCATCAGGGATCAGTGGTTACTGATCTTCTGCATCTTTTAAAAGAACATGCTGTAGGAGATTCTGTGACACTCAGAGCCCTAGTTTAGTCCTGGACTTTAGACTAAAGAAAACCATTTTGTGTGCTTGTCCATCAGAAAATAGCATGCTCTTCTATGAAAGACCTTAATTTCCCCTAGCCAAAAGAATTACTAGGTTGACTTCAAACAATATCTGTGCACTGCAGTAGATAACTTCCTGGCTAATACCACAGCAATCCAACAACTTCCTTATTTGTATTGTTGTAGTGATTATTCCCAGGATCGAGCGTACTCTGTCTTACATCATCACAGAACTGGATGAACGAGAACGAGAGGAATTCTACAGGTAAATATCTAAAACAAGACTAGACTGGTCTCTTTCTGAGATAAGACCATTCCTCAGAAGGGACTTAGGAGAACTAGTCACCAAATCTGGCAACAAACATGGTTAAACATGACCTCATTGTTACTGCACGCTGAGTTTCCAGAGCACTCAGAGATCTGCAATTAATTGTCTGAAAGTTATAAATGAATCCCTACACCCCTGAGTTGTGCATAGCTGCCATCATTCTTCCAGAGGGAATATGTGATACAGGACACTGAGGTGTGTTCTGCTTTGAGGACACCTCTGCCCCGTAGAGGTTAATGTTCTGGGCTACCTGAACCAAAAATGTCAAACCTGAAATGAATGAAAGAATTAACTCGATTAAAGACAAGCAGAGTGGTATAATGCAGTGTTCAAGGCCAAGAATATAATTCAAAGTTTGGGTGAAGCTTTTTAAATGCAGCAGCTAGCAGTGAAAGCTTTTTATTTTTCCAAATTTGCCATTTGTTACAGAACTTTTATTTCCTGGGAAACTTTCCCAGGCACCTTCATCATATCCAAGTTGTGTATGGCATCTTGCTGGTAGCCTGTTGTATGAAAACATGTTTGTTTCACGGATAAGCTGCATTTCTCTTCACAGGTTAAAGAAGATCCAGGAAAAGAAAAAGGTATTGAAAGAGAAATCTGACCAAGAGCGGGAGCTGCGCAGAGCTGCTGGGGCAGAGAGCGAACCAGCCAACCTCCTAGCAGAGGAGAAGGATGAAGACCTTCTCTTTGAGTAACCTGCACAGTCGTTGTGTATAGAGCAGAGCAGCCAGAATACAGAATGTCCAATTGCAATGTAATTCAAGACATGTTGCCTCCAAGATACTTCTGTGGCTTCTCATTTGGTGTCTGTGTCTTGAGTTGAAGGGATTGTGGATTTCTCCTGGGAAATTAGAAATCTGGGAACTTGACTACAGCATAGGAGGAAAAGGAGAAATGAATCTTAAAGCAGGAAAGCCTTCTATTGCACATGCAGCCTGTTTCTTCACTTAGTAGGAATGACTGTTGATAGCTATGTTTTTAGGAGGAGGTTTCTGGATTTGCCTAATCAGATTCTTTTTTAGTTGGTCTCCTTCCTGGTGCAAGCAGAGGAAAATGTTACTTAGGGAGGGAGATACATGTAATGGTCTTTACTACGGAACTAATAATGTTCACTGGCTTAAAGCCAGTGTTGGCACAGCTGAAGTCAAATGTCAGTGGAGGAAACTCTAGTTTTCTAACCTGTTGATGAAATCCACAGTCTTCTGTGATAATATTTTGTTGCACGATTGTTACCATTGGCCTAAAACACCTACGGTTTTAATTAGGAGTTCTGCCAACTTGTGTACTGTCTGTGCTAGAAACAAATGTGAATTTTAAATGTTAAAATATCTGGTGTCTGGCTCAAGTTCCTAGAAGATGGTGGTCTTCAAATCTTGTCATGTTGATGTCAAAATAAAACCTCTGCTTCATTCCATACCCCAACTTAGAATCCACACTGAGCACATCTCTTTTCAGCTTGTACCCATATTTACTTGACCTTGACTGCTTTACAAAAGCAACCAAGGAGAAGTGGCTACAGAACTAATGCTACTGTATTGTCTCCAGTGCTACAAGTCTCTTCAAGGTAATCTTGTTTTAAATGTGATCCAGCACTTAACTGCAGATGCAGGGTAAGTGCAAGGAAATTAACTTCTATTAGCACCTTTAAAAAGTCATTTTAGAACTGTATGAAGCACAAGGCCATTTCTTTTGTCTTTGGAAGCTGAAGACAGCACAGCAGAGTAGTAAGTCCATGCTCTGTTGTAAGATCCAGCTTGGAAGACTGTGTAGCTCTGTGGACATATTATTACCTCTCCCAGGGGATGAATGGTGTCAGAAGGAGCATAGAACATCCTCTAGGGCAATGATGGGTCACAGCATCCTTCACACCAAGACCCACTACAAGAAGTAAAATTGTACAGTGATTTATTTTAAATCTAGAAATATTTTACATTTTTACATTAGTGTGCAGTTCGTGATGTCTCAAAATACAGAGTGCAGATACATGTATAAAAGTACAATGTGGGGCTAACCACAGGTCTCAGTAAAGTTACCTTAATTATTTAAGGCATGAACCCCCCCAATCTGGTATTTTAAAAAGTCATATGTAATTACATTCAAAAATTCTTTTATGCAATTCAGCTAACATTTTTAAATTACATCTGGACTGGAAAAAATGCTGCTACCCTCATCTCAGTCTGATACAGCTCCCTACAAAGCCTGTGATAAGGCTGAAGGGTTTCACCAGTTAAGTCTACATATTAGGGAATTAGCACACATTCCTCATTAAAGAAGCAGAGTAATTTCTTAGACAAGGTAGTTCCAGGTCCAATCTGGCAACAGATGGACAGCCAGGCACACATTTCAGTGCTGCTCAAGCCCTTCCTTTCAATCAGCAGGAGGCTAACACTGGTTATAAACTATCATAGCACTTCTCTACAAGGATGTTAGCAAGTACTGTGTGCCTGGGGCATTAAAAGGGTAGAGCAATGCAAGCACTATGGTTTAAGTCTACATTCAAGAGCTCATGTGGATAAAACCAGGTTCTGTTCTGTATGCCACTTCAGAAACACTGGGGAGACAAATATTAGTGAAAATCCCATCAGTGGCATGATATAAACTATCATAGCACTTCTCTACAAGGATGTTAGCAAGTACTGTGTGCCTGGGGCATTAAAAGGGTAGAGCAATGCAAGCACTATGGTTTAAGTCTACATTCAAGAGCTCATGTGGATAAAACCAGGTTCTGTTCTGTATGCCACTTCAGAAACACTGGGGAGACAAATATTAGTGAAAATCCCATCAGTGGCATGATTTACTGAGACTGAAGCTGCCTATGAACACGAACACTGAATACCTCAGGGGATACAGTAACCACCTTGAGCTGATTGTGACTGCGAGAATTTGGACAGCACCCATGTAGCTGAGCTGGGTTACCATTTCCAACACAGTCTGCTGCTTTCCACCCTCCTGTCCAGCTGTGAAATGGTCATACCCAAAAGCCTAATACATCTACCATCATCTTTGCTAAAAAATGGTAGAATCAATACAGTATTTCCAACACACCTGAACACTGCAGTTAACACACGACGATGATGCTGAACGTGCCTGCAGGGTGAGGCAAAAGCCACTGTTCTGGATATCCAGCCCTTAGGCCAACAGCTAGCACATTATTATTTCTAACAGTGACTTAACTAAAGATAAAGTTTTCAACTCCTTCCATTTCTGAAGGGTCATTACTTATCCCCAATAATTGCTCTTCAGCCCTAAATACTAATTAAACCAGCAAATAATCTTCCTTTCCAACAAGACAGGAATGAACTCTATACTTCCATTTTTCAATACAAAGATGTACTGAATGTTAGTTAAGGACCTAGGATAGTTATCTGACAATTTCTTTGTATCTGCTGTATACTTTGAGCTCTAACTATGGATGTGAATTTGTTCCATTAACATCTGAAGAAAGAACAGATGCAAGACAGACTGGAAAACAACTTTTTCATTCTTCAACATTAGACAGGAATGAACTACACATTGACCTAACTCCAGTGTTTTACCTGTAGGAACAAAGAAACACAGTGGCTAAAATGAAGAGATATTCACAGTTAAGGTTCCTTGTGCTACCCAAACCAAAACAGCCAAGCTACTACTACTCAGTTAGCTTCAGCGACAGGACAGCCTTACTGCAGATACACAACCTTAGTAGTCAAACCTTCACAGCCAGGATCAGAGGATGCAGAGATGGTCCCATCTGCTTTGCAGAACACACTAGGATACACACCTTGCCTTTTGTTCGCTTGTTCAAGTTTGGGGTTTTTTGTTTTGTTTAACCATTAAAAATATTCCCCTTTCTTGTGACTTCTCAGTCAGTTACCAGTGTCTTACACGTATTTTCACTGCAGTACTGAGCAAATGCAGGACAATACGTTGGCTAGTGAATTACAATACTCATAACACAGTAGCTACATTCAGCTATTTTAATTCCAGTTAGTTGTCCATTAGTCCAACAGCCACAACAGGAACCACCTGCAGAGATTAAAAACCCCACTGTCCTCCACTGTTCAGCACATTGGTACTTTAGTCAGTATTCTGTTATAAAACATGAGAATTTCCATTGACTTTCAAGCAGCATGTCTTATAACTACATACTTTGACAAAAATATAACCTCTGCCTTTCTAAGTATCTACAGATCTCTGGAAAACAGCGGCTCCAATCAGTCATTATCTTTTAAGGAAAATACCATAGAAATATCACATCTAAAAGATCAATATAATAGTCATCTTTGGACCTAAAATTAATGTGCAGGCAAATCCAATTTTAAAAGTCTGACTAAAAAGACACAAGGATTGAAATATTTACATTATACACATTTTCCCATTACAGTGCCATTAGAAAGTGGAATGTCTGAGAATCACAATATTAACTCAAGCCTCACAGAGCAGCTCCAGACCAGAGCAGCATCTTCATTCTGTGTGTTTTGGAACAGGAGAGGTTTCTCATTAACGTTTTTCACGTGTAGATTATTTCTCTGCCCAATGATCTGTAGAATTATGCTCCTGAACTAGCATCATGTCCCACAAAGTTTTTAAGTTAAGTGTTAAATAACATTCATATTTATAATTATGTGACAGCATGGACTATATATATATACACACGCACACACGTAAAGTCTTTGATTTCGTAAGGGTGATTCTAGGTTAAAAAAGGTATAAAAGTAGTTGCTAAAAAAGTCTATCTAAAGCTTTAGAATTTAGTACTGACACGGTCTCATTCCTAGACCACAGAGAAAGAAAACTTGGGCAATCTTCAGATCAGTTAATCGGCTCAAACTCGTTAGCGTATTTTTCAGTAATACGCAACTCGACTGGCAGAGGATGCAGCCACTGAGGTCTAGAGCTCACATGCACTTAGACTAGAACTGGGCAGACCTACACACGACTTCCTCGGAAGGATAACTAGATTGCAGTCCCTTTGTCCCTTGAACTGCCCTCATCGCAGCCAGCTGGAGGGCACCCACTGGGGCTCCGTGTCAAGTTTGTTTATTAACCGCAGCAGCTCTTGATACGCCTTGTCGAGATCAGAATTCACAATCGCCGTATCGAAGTAGTGGCCGTTGTTCTGTTCCATCTCCCTGGTCTTCTCTATGATTTCTCTCAGCTCTTCTGGCTGCAATCAAAACCAGAGAATTAGTGTAGGTATGTGAGAGGTGTGTGAGCCTCTCCCCCCAGTAACAGAGTAGGAAAAGGCAACAACTCAGCTTTTTCACACAAATTCTCATGGCATTGCTATCAGCTATTGGGAATTTTACAGTAATACTGAACCATGACACGAATTTGAAAGCTAAGGGCATTCAAGATGATCCTTTCTGATTAGCTGTAAGTGGCAAACAGTAAACAACTGCCCCAGGCTGAAGAAAATGAAGAAGATCTAGCACTGCTCATTGTGCAACACTCATCTTACTGAGACTTGTTTTACAGTAATACTGAACCATGACAAAAATTTGAAAGCTAAGGGCATTCAAGATGATCCTTTCTGATTGGCTGTAAGTCACAAACAGTAAACAACTGCCCCAGGCTGAAGAAAATGAAGAAGATCTAGCACTGCTCATTGTGCAACACTCATCTTACTGAGACTTTAAAATCATGTTTCTGAAAAATAACTGCGGTTGCTAACCCCATTAACCTCTTGAAAATCACTGGAGAGGGCAGAGACAGTGCAAGAAAAGTTGGAATGGTGCAAAACAAAACAACATTGCTCTAAGGATGCAGCACTACAAACACCAACTTATCCTTGCTGACAAAACAAAACAACATTGCTCTGAGGATGCAACACTACAAACACCAACTTATCCTTGCTGAAAATATTGCAATAAATAGCCAAGAGAAGCACAGCAAGAGCTCTATGGTTAAGTTGATCCAATCACCATAATGTCAGGCAAAGAACATTGCAGAAAAATGGAACATACCACTT